TTGGCGAAGAATACTGAATATACCATGAACGGCCAGAAGAACAAGAAATCTGTCTTGGAAGTAGTATAGCCAGAATGCTCCTTAGAAGCGAGGATGGTGAGACTTTGTCTCATGTACTTTGGACATGTTATGAGGAGGTACCAGTCCCTGGAGAAGGACATAATACTTGGTAAAGTAGAGGGTCAGCAAAAAAGAGGAACACCCTCAATGAGATGGACTGACACAGTGGCTGCAACAATGGGCTCAAGCATAGCAATGACTGTGAGGATGGTGCAGGACCGGGCAGAGTTCTGTTCTGTTGTACGTGGGGTCGCTATGAGGTGGAACCATCTGGACGTCACCTAACAACAACAACAAATTCCTGAATACTTTATAAGTAACTATTTGTCAGGAAGCTTTCATGGTTAGTGCAGTGAACACCACAGGTGCCTCGTCCACATTCTCTAGGACTAACCAGAGGGCTGGTCACCTACAGACAGTCTCGGTCCAGACCAAAGGCTTCCTGCATCTCTCTGCATGAGCTGTTTCCTGGCTCCAGGGAGCACGGCCCACAGCCAGAGCAGAACAGACATGCTGGAGAGTTAATGCTCTAGGGTACTCCCAATGAATGAGTAATAGGAAGTTGGTGGATAAATCCTCCAGCAGCTTCGTCACCTCTCAGGGGAATGATCTGAAGTGTGTTCCACAGAGTCTCTCAGGGATCCCCAGCAGTAACTTGATCTTTAATGCATATTTTTCTGTCTTTCCTCCCTTCCCTTTCTCAACTCCCACACCCACACCCACACAGTGAGATCAACCTCTTCTCCCAAAATAAACTACCTGGATCTCCATCAGTGTATCAGGGTCTGCTTTTTGGAGAACCAAAACTAGGACAGTTAGTAGACTTTATGAATTCTCATAGATCTGAGAATATCTTGATTTTGCTTTCACAAATAAAGGGCAAGTTGGCTGGGTACAGAATTCTTAATTCACAATGGAACACATTGCTCTAGTTTTTGACATTAATGTTAGAGAAAAGAAGTCTGTGGCAAACTGGTTTCTTTGTTTGCTGTTAGGTATTAGTAATATCATTTTCATATCCTTGAAATACGTGATTTCATGAAGCTGTGTGTAGACATTAGACTTTTTAATAGTTTTGCCTGGTATTTGTGGAGCCCATTCCAGAAAACAGAGATCCTTCTTTCCAGTCTAAGGAATGGTTTCTACTTTCACATATTTTGTTGCAGTTATTCTGAAATCATTTTCTTATTGAGTCCCTGGGTGGCACAAATGACTGAACACTCCACTACTAGCTGAAATGCTGGTGGGTCAAACCTGCCCAGAGACACCTAGGAAGAAAGGCCTGGAGATCTACTTCTGAAAGCCCACAACCTTGAAAATCCTATGCAGGAGGTCTACTCTGCACACCTGAGATTGCCATGAGTTGGAATTGACTCGATGACAACAACAATAACAAGTTCCAATTATTCTGGAACCATTTTCTCTTTGCCGATTTCTCCATTCTCCAGCTTTCATATCTATAGTCTTCATTATTATCCCTTTCTGTTGCCTTGCCCCTTTTCCCAGAATTTCTAGAGACCTTCTAAAATACACCCTCCACACCAATGAATCAGTTTTTCATAGTGTTGATTATCCTCTTTTCTGATCATAACCCATTTTAATTCTGCCATTGCCTTTTCACTTCGTTATAATATCTCCTTATCCCATCCGTGTCCTTTATTTTTGCTTGTCTCTCAGTCCCTTCTATTTTCATCCCAGCCTATTTTTTACTATCTGATCTTTTACTGTGTTCATTTTTTCCTGAATTTCATTGAGAACAAAAGTGGATGCTCTCTAAAATTTACTTTTGTTTTCTACTAACAGTATGTTTAAAAACACATGGTCTCCCTCTGGATTTTGAGTTATATTTTTCTTAGTTTATGTATCTTTTTGCAGGATCCATCTTTCTGCAGAATCTTTTTGTAGGGTACATGTGGGTTCTGATAGGCTTATGCATTAAACAGAGTAGGTGGGGTCTCTTGGTTCTCCCTCACTACCTACCTGGGTGTGTTAGAATCCTGCTCTGGGATGGGTGATGCTTTTTATATTACCAGTTAATCAACCTTGCAGTTGTGATGGAAGTAATGGGAGGGCTAATGATTTATACCTGCAGCCTTCTCAGGAGCTTGTCCTTGACTGACTAGAGTCCCCTCATCCAGTATACCTGGGAGGCTACAGCCCACCTCACTCCCAGTGGCCAATGATGACACAGGGATGGAGAATTATGTCTCTGATCCCACTTCAAGGGGCAACAATTCTGCTGAGTGATTTATGCTCTAGAGCATTACTCCCACCCCTTGTCCTCACTTCCCTTCTCCTGAGAGCAATCCTCCAATAAATCATACCACCCAGATCTCATGATCCCATCCTTGAACAGTTGTAGGACTAACGAGATAATCATTTGCTGGTAATAATCTCTGTAAAACGCATTCATCAAATATTATTTAAAAGGGAACAAAACTGGAAATAATCTAAACGCCCAATAGTAGGAATTTGTAGGTAATCCATGGCATATGCGTGTGATAGAACGTTACGCAGTGCCCAAGCTAAAAAAGAAAAGCACGGTGAAGCGAAGCAAAGTAAGACACAGGAGTCTACTTAAGTTTATAAAATAAATGCTACAAAGTCCTATATACTGGCAGAGTGAATGAGTTCTGAATTTTCTAACAGTCAACAGAGAGGACAAAAGCCAGTTAGTCTTAAAGCTGTGTCTAGGTGGTAAAAACAAGCTAAAATGCCAGGGCTCATGGGGGGAGGGTGTGGTAAGCACAGCTATTTCTAATTCTGAAACCAGAAAGAAATTTCTACCACGGATCCTGAGTGAGAGGAATCTGAATAATGTAATGGCCCAACTTCAACCACATCCTTTCAGTTACCATAGAGACCAGTTTCCTAGGTGTGGTCTCTGAGTAAACTCCACCCTCCACTCCCATACAGGGAGACAGCATCATGGCACATGCAATTCTGTAAAAGATACTTGGACCCTACAGATACTTGGTTCTCTCTTGACCAGGCTGAATCCAGGGACAATTTTTAGGGTGCACAAGATGGATGAAAAGCATCCCCTTCTTGGAGTCCTTCTTGAATACTCTTTGTGACCTTCCTCAAACCCAGACCTCCTGGAAGCTAGTAGGCAGTAGGGAGTCTGAGATGGCTTCTTGGAAAGTTCTTGGAAAGCTCCCATTCTGGGTGGCACCACATGCTTCAGCCTGCTGAGCTTGGCAGGGCTGGCACAGTGCTGCTAGAACTGTGTAGCCTCGCAGGACGTGCACCTCAACAAAACGTCTCCCACCTGCTAGAAGGCATGCCAACAGCTCATCTGTGGGCAGGGCAAAGGTTTTCCTCAGAAAATGATTGGGGTTCATTACAAGGCACTGCAGTTCAGCGCTGTAAACGCTCTGAAAAGCTGCAAAAATTCCCACCTGAACACCCGTCGATAGTCAGACCACTACCAGGTACAAGGAAGTCTATATGATTCCACTTACTCCTCCCTGTTGTCTGACAAGGAAGTCTTTTCCTCTCCCCTCCCAAAAGTGGTGCACTGAGGGATGATGTTGTCTGAGCAGGAGATGAGAAACTAACCAGCTGCTTTTTTCTTTTGGAGTCATGCTATCTAAACTTCATCTCATTCAAAGAAGTTAATACACTAAAAATTTTCATTCATGTAAATAATAATTAACTCAAATATGATAAATGAATTAATATGCTGAAGGACAGTAGAAGTACATGACCCTCTCATAAACATCAAATGCATCACTGGTGATAACCCTGATGAGCCGTGATCTGTCTTTATTTCTTATCTTGTTTTCACAGCAACAACCACTGACCTACAAGTGGCGTAGCATATGTGTGCTGGAGACAGACAGTGCCATCTGGGAGAAGGCGCCAGACATAAAACCGTAGGAAGAGAGCTCAACAAGACAGAAGGAATGGGAGACAATGTAAGATACACATACTGCTTTGACTCTCTGCCGGTATTTATGGCTTCTTCTTCAGCTATACCAACATATTATCTGAGTCCAGGATGGAAAATTTGTAATAATTCCAAATAGTACTGCATATAAAGGAATAGTCTTTGCAGGATCATCGCACATTCTAATCTATGATAAGAGTCTGGTCTCTCAATCCGATGGAACAAAAGGGTATCTTCCTTACCTTCTGCCACATGTTGATGAAGAAGAGCTCTCGGGAAACATTGAAGGACACATTGGCATCGTAGGCATCATCCCCAAGGTTGGAGATGGAGACGTTTAAGGAGATATTCTTCACAGCCCCCAAAGCCAGATACGTGGTGTTCTCATCAATGCTGCAATGAAAAATAAACAGTAGTTAATGCCCTGAAGCTTAACACTAATATACTAGGAGGCATCAAGGAACAGTTGCGGGTGGAGGGCAGAAACTCCACTGGGATCAGAACTACAAGCCCCAGGAACCCCATTAACCAGCTATATATTCTTGAGCAATCAGTTAACTCCCATGGAGTACAGAAGTTCTCTTGTGGTTGCGTCTGTTTTTGTAGTGAAATAGGAGCAGGGCCCAAAACTGGGAGGGGGGAGGGAAGGAGGGTGAATGTTTGAGGGACAAGGAGATGGAATCAGAAGTTACCTCGGGAGAGTGGAGGAGCGAATGGGTCAGGGATGACGATGATGATGATGAGGAAGATGGAATGAGGAGGTACTTCAGGAGAGTAGAGGAGTGAATGGGTCAGGGATGATGATGATGATGATGAAGATGGAATGAGAAGGTACTTCAGGAGAGTGGAGGAGTGAATGGGTCGGGGATGATGATGATGATGAAGAAGATGGAATGAGAAGGTACTTCAGGAGAGTGGAGGAGTGAATGGGTCAGGGATGATGATGATGATGATGATGAAGATGGAATGAGAAGGTACTTCAGGAGAGTGGAGGAGCGAATGGGTCAGGGATGATGATGATGATGATGATGATGGTGATGAAGATGGAATGAGAAGGCACCTCAGGAGAGTGGAGGAGTGAATGGGTCAGGGATGATGATGATGGTGATGAT